CACACACACACACACACACACACACACACACACACACAGCTGCATGGACAAAATCAGGGGTTTGATCCAGTGCTCTGATACTAAGGATTGGCCAAAATAAGCAGAATCTCAATTATTGTGGGGAACTTACATAGATTTTATTCAATACTAGGAGAACTCAGTTTAAACTTGATCTGAATTCTGACTGAAATTAAATGTGCAATTTTGCTTTTTAATGAAACCAGACATTTTGACCAATATATTGATACAATCTTGCTAAACGTATAGTATATATGTGCTGTACATGTGCAAATAACAAAGACACAAGCACACATGACACACCAAACACACACAATAAAAACACAGTAGAGAGCATGTGGTAACAGCCCCGCATACATCTTAGAATTCTTGTCTGCATGAATATGAGTGAGGTGTGTACACTGCAAGATATGGAGGCTGACAGTACAGCAACATTACATGGTATCTGATAACCAACACAGTACAACACAACTACAAGTTAAGAGAAAAGCAACATTTGTGTGGAGGTGTAATCTGTTGTAAATCTGTCACCAAACTACAAAAACAAAAAGAAACCAGTGTGCTACAGAGAGAGCTCTGACAGGGAAGATCTCACTTCCAGAAGCCTGGAGGCAAAATCAGTTCCTCAGACCTGGGAAGCTTAGAAAGAGTAGAACCACCAGAATATAGGCCTCCACTTGGTACCAAAGTATTGGCTCCCCGAGAACAGATCATCTCACTTCTAATTAAAGTTCACCAGCAGACACATCTATATGCAGCTGACCTGCTGAGTGTTACAGTGGATTGAACAGGTAGATGCTGCAGTAACACTTACTTGCCACCGTCTTGTTGTTTAAGACTGTCAGACTGGCTTGTCAAGCAACAAAGTGACCAGAACGGGTAGATCTGAAATGTTCCGTGTTGATGTGGACAAGGGAAACTAAACTTTACTGTAAAGCCACCTGTTGCTGCAGGTGTTTGTTTCTATCACAGACTGTATTTAAAAGATGGACGTAACCTCTGAGAATGAAAACTGATGGCAGCACAGAAGTGACTTTCACCTGCTTTGGTTCTCACAGCCAACAGGGGGCGACATCTCCAGTTAGTCAGACTATAGAATTAAAAGAAAAATGGCCCTGCTTCTCCCTTGATTTGTTACTTCAGTAAACATTTTTTTTTTATTGGCCTCATTCAAAAAATTCCAAGACGTATTTGAACACATGATGGTGTTTAGTTTGTAATTTATGGCATCATTTAGAGTAAAATAAACGGTAAAGCAGAGTATGTTTGAGAGCTTGGCTACCTTTTGGTTGACTGGTTCATACCGTATCACTGTGTGGAGTCCTTTGGTTATCCAATCAGATCCACCGGCTGCTCATCGTGTTCAGGTTCAAAGGACCAAAGTAGTGTTGACTGAACTCAAGGTTTTAAAACACAAATCCACAAATCAATTAGGGATGTCACTGTTGCTCTGTCCATCTTTTATACACAGTTTATGGTTTCTGTAGGCACTTTGAAAGACAAATTCAACACCGAAATTATTTAATGTAATAAGATCATTTTGAAGCCTCAAATGGGATTCATCTAACGACTAACGAGCAGAAACAACATATAGTGGTTTACTCATCTGACAATAGACATGTCACTGAAAAACAGGGTTTTATTTCCTCAAGCATAACACACGCTTATTTGTATCCTGTAGTCACAAATAACAGGAAAATGCACAGATTTCTGTCCAATAAGATAACTCAGATTCATTGCCTTTACTGTACGCAGTCCAGTCATGCTTACTGTCATCCATAGTCTCCCTCCAGAGGCCATCCTGAGCCAGGATGATGCACCATCATTTTAATTGTGCTTCTCCTTGTATTGAATTATTTTGTGAATATTTGCCTCAGTGTCTTTGGTTAGTCAGTCTGACCCTACAGTCCCGTCACTGCTGTCAACACACCACACACACACATATCATGAGGAACAGTGACGCTGTCGGCTGACGCTAATAACGAGCGATGACTCAAATACCCTTATTTTTCTATGTGTATGCACTTTAGAGACACCCTGAGGTACTCATCCGCCTTCACAGCAAGGAAACATCAAGTGATTAAATGCTGCACAGCAATTTTTTGGCAAATCCTCCATGAAATGAATTGTAAATGACAAATTATAGTTTCACATTTCATTTTTCAATCTGTTTATCGATGAATTATAGAGAATAGTCAGTAATTCATCAAAAAAATAAATTTTCTATGTGAAATAAAATATATTTTTTCAGTCACTGCTGTACAAATGCAAAAAACAAGCATTTAGCATTTCTGTGTTTATCATTTCCTACGTTGTATCTGTCCTTGCCTCTGAGACTGGGAACCTTAACTTCATTATTTTCTCTTCTTTGGCTGAGGGAAGAGCCTGTCGCTCCTTTCATACTGAATAATAGTTTTGTAATGCAGAGAATGAGGTACCACGGAGAAATGCCTTGATATGTTAACTGTGACAACAGATTTTTTTACAGTGTAAATTAAGAACAGAACTGTTTCTTACGCATAGGAAGGGACATGGATGTCCAAAAAAAAAAAAGTGTATAAATGTATTTGTTCAATCAGCTATATTTCCAGTAAAACATAAGATTTTGAGAGCTCAGTGTGGTTTCGTCGTTTCTAGTCTGTGTGGAAAATGTTTTATTTGTAGCTTAATTGATATTGATTCTAAAAAACTCTTTTCTTTTGTATGACCATGTGGATATCTAAACATGACATCAGTATGTGATTCCTAAATCTGCTGCTATAACAGCCCTCTCGCTTTCCACCACATTTTAGAGCCTTTCTGAAGACATCAGCTTCCATTCAGCCACAAGAGCATTAGTAGGGGTGCGGCGCTGATGTTGGCTGCCGGTTCGGGGTCTGCTTCACACAGAGACTTGGTTTCGCTCAAGCCTGACAGAATTTGAGATGTACAGAGATATCTTATTTTTTAAAAGTCCCCCACACACCCCCTTCCATCAGTGTGCGCCCACAAACACACACATACACTCAACCTGCCAACCGGAAAGTGGCAAACATTGACCATAGGTACAGATTGAGGAAGGAGGGAGACATTGAAGGTGGCAGCACCCGTATACTGTGTGTGGTTTGCTCAGGTTAGTAAGAAGAGACGGGGATAGATAACCTTTCAACTTGTGGTACCTGTGGAATTACTTTTATTCAGTGTTTTTTGTATTTACATCTGCTGAGGTGGGGCTTCAAGGTGG